TATATATATATATATATATATATATATATATATATATATATATATATATATATATAGATATATATATAAAACAAATCATTCCTCGACTGCATGTCGAAATACTACAATATAATGTAACTGCGTTGTTAATTACTCGTCTGAAATCCTCGTATAAAAGTCTCAAACGTCGTTACGTATCGTATCACACACATTACGTGCGCGCGCGCTCGTTTCAACGTTAAGAACTAATTTCGCGAAACGCGCGCGCGCATTTGTTTCCACGCGCGTACAAAAGCACACTCACGCGTTTACCGTTATATAGCAAAATTGCACGCTCTCGCGGATGCCTTCTCGAAGAAAGCCTCGATGTTAAAAGAAGTTGAAAGTTTTAAAATTTGTTAATGATTAGCTGATAAATGAGAAAAGAGGAAAAAAATGTGTATCTCGTGATCGGCATCGCGCGTAATTCTTTACAACGTCGTCGCGATGATCATGACGATGAAATGCGAAAAAAAGCGTCACGTCTTCTTTAGGAATAATATAACACTCCTGTACATGTACAATGTTATTATACGACAACCGAAAGGGATAATTGTGTTCGAACGAACGAGCGATCGAATAAATGAATGAGTGAATTTCTCTGGTTACGATGCCGAGAGAAAAAGAGAGATGAGACTTCGAAAAATTTAACCGTAGTCCGTAAAACCGTCGAATCATGTAAATGCAATCGTGAGAAAAAAAATACATATTTACCGAAGCAAGCGAAGCTACAGGCCTGCCTGTATACACAGATACACATACACATACAGGACACCTATACGCGCGCGTATGTATATATGAACTATATATATATATATATATTTTTATGAACGTGTGATGAGGTAACAACGCATAGCTTGTAATATCGATTCTAATATCCGACAGTTTACCTTGCCTCTCGCGTGCGATTAAAACGATTGAGAGCGGCTGTAAACATTTGGATAAGTTCTTTCCTTGCCCTTCTACCTCTTGCCGTTGTTTTTCCCTTATACCTTTCCTTCTCTCATTCCCACCTCGTGTCTCTCCCTTTTTTCTCATGCCCTTTTCCTTTTAAATTTAAGGCATAACGATCATTGATACAAAAATCGTGACTTTTTCTTTTCTTTCCAGGCTTCGCGGCAATCACACACTCCACAGAGAGCCGTGTCATTAAAATGATTTTATTATTTCATTATACATGTACGAACTGTACGTTCCTTGCCCCAACTTAAGTGTAATTTTAATCGATTGATTTTGAGTTATTATAAACTGTTTTCCTCTCATGCGAATATAATTGTGCGTGTATTCTTATTCTATACCTATATATCTGTACTTTGACTTTTGTGCGACACATTTCCAATAAGTATTAAAATTAACGTATGTGGGAAGCTTCAAAGAAGTACTTGTTCGTCGTAATATAAAGGGATATGAAACAAAGAAAAAAAAATCAGATTGATATACTTGAACTTACCTTATAGAAGACATCCGGAACGTATTGCTTGTCGGTTGACTCGATTACGTAGCCTAACTCCGGTGCATCTTTTGTAGGAACCAAACAACCATCTCGTACCAACGCCATACACTGATTAGATACTTGATAGCCTTCCATATGAACTTGATTTTTATCGTCACCTGTAATGCAGGAGGAAATTTATTTTACATGACATTGTAACTAATGCAGAAAAAGATATCAACGCATTGTTTTTTATCAATATTTTCAAAGAGAATCCGTACACACAAAATGAAGTAAGATTAACTCACCTGTAACGCAAACCGTTACAAATTTCGAGCCGAAATAACCATTAGGCGAAAAACGGCAGGGATTTGGATATTGGTTTTGGAAGTACCCAGCCATGATACATTCTTGAGCAGATAGAAAGTGGCTCTCTATATTGCGAACGTGTTTGACCTGCTCGAATAAAAAACCTCATAGTGGTTAATCCGCCGCGTATAATCAGTTATACAAATAAAAATATAAATAAGAAACAAGTATCAAATTACCGTTCCTTTCTTGATATCGTCCGCTATGAGGTCAGTGAAAATCCATCCAACTCGCCATAGATTAAGTGTGCGGCCTAACTCTTCGACTAAAACTTCCCTTTCATCCGGTAGAAGTCTTATCGTGTCCTTTGTACTTTCCTGATAAATCAACGCATCAGTTGATACTTAGAATTTCAGTATTAGTAGACTGCGGCAATTCATGAGATTTCATAACAAACTTTTTTTCTGTATAGGTAACGCTGACAAATACATAAATATAATCTAATCGTTGTATTAACATACGGAAAATCGTCGTAAAATGTTACAAATTCCCACAGTAAATTTTACAAAATATGTCTGTAGATAGATCCGTCGAGGATTAATGTGATGTTACGTACTTGCGGTGGCTCGTATATAGCCGCAACGACAGCTCTAATTCCTAGCGGGACATCCGAGTGTATCTCGTATCTACCGTATAGATAGCCAATACGCTGAAGGCCGGTGCCGCGCCAGTAATTGAGAAAACGTTCCACTAAACTAGCGTTTTCGAACATGACGTTATCCACGTGGCGATAAGTCTGGCGATTGAGTGTGATCGAGGGCGGTTGGCACTTGCTGCAAATCCCTCGTGGCCAGGGCGGATGGTCTTTGCAGCCAGTCTTCACACGGCAGCTTATGTCATCTAATTGTATAAATTTGCCCCTGGCAACACATACACAAATATATTGATACAGTTGAACGTTGTTTGTCATATATTTTAATATAATTTAATATAATTAAAAACAGTAAAAATTTTCCCAAAAATCAATATTAACACATTGGTAGCCAGTATTGCGCTGTGCAAAATATCGTATGTAGCCGGTGAAATTTTGTTAATATTGAGTGAAAACACTTAGATATGTTTGTAAAAATTATATTAAACAAAATATATAATACATAATTTTAACTACAAGTTTCGAAAATGTAACTTCACCCTATCGGCTGAACAATATTAAACTGCAGAAAGCATCTTTATATCTTTATTCTATCGATTGTTGACAACATACATGTGTTAATAAAATAATAAAATAACTAATTATAACACTAAAAATAATATAGTATAATACAATAAATAATATAGTATGTCCTATTTTAATCAACGCATTTGAATATTTTTCAAAGCTCTTCGTTGTGACCATCTTGATTAATGAGAGGAGGAAGAGAGAGGGGTAGGAGAGACAGGGATGAAGAGGGAGAAATGAAGAGGAGAGAGGGGGGAGAGAGAGAGAATGGATTAATATAAAAGTTGTGTTCATAAAATGACTGTGTGATTGACTGAGCATATTTATAAAATATTACAAATATTTTCTATTCACTTTAATAATCAATAAATATAATTAACGTGACATAATTGTGATAAAAAGTAGGCTAAAAAAAGGTTTATGTGTTACATTAATTTTACAGTTATTTATTGATTGTTAAAATAAAAGGAATATTTTGGAATGTGTTCAATCGATTTCAAAAATCACTTTACGGACATATCCTTTTATTTTAGCGTATTTTGAAGATTTTGGGCATGCGTTTTCTCTGTTCGGATGTCATCAATCGAGAATCGCGGCGAAGGATCAGGAAGAGCCCCTTAAGGTTTCTACCTACTTACTGCGGTTATCTTGATTTGTGATGTCACAACCGAAAAATACAACTCCTGAGAAATATGTAAAAGAAAAATATGTTCACAAAATGACATGTAATCGATCGAGTAGTCTGTAAAATAATCTGAAAACTTTTTTTGGTCTAACAATCAATAAATAATCGTAACAGTAATGTGACAGAATCATGAGAAAAGATACATTAAAAAAGTAGGTTGCATATCAGGTTAATTTTACGGTAATTTCTTCTTTCTTACAGCAAAAAGAAAATGTTCGGACTATTTTACAGATTTGCTTGATCGATTGCAAGTGTCATTTTATGAATATATCTTTTTATTTCTACATATATTGCAAAAATTTTGAATGTACATTTTTTTAGCTTTTACGTCACTAATTAAGAAGTCTGCGCTGAGTAACCAAGAACTTTAAACTAATAAGGGATTAGCTAAGATTTGCCCTTGGGTTTCGTTTTATATGTATAATATTACTAATTTATTGTATAATATTAATAATTTATATGTGCAATAATAATATTATTCTCCTACTGATTCATGATAAAGTGATTCAATGCAACTCTTAAGAATTCGTGAGAAAAATCGGTTCAAAGTTTTCTGTATATGTCATATACGATTGTGGACAGAAAAGTTGTGTAATTTATTATATGAGTTTGTAAACTCATCTACCTTTTTTTTATTCAATGGGAAAATTTTCCTATTGAAGGATGCCAATATTTTTATTTTTATATGACATTAATATTTTATATGACATTTTATATGACATTAATATTTTTATATGACATATAATCAGCAACGAATTTCTACTACATAAAAAGTTTCCTTCTGTTAGGGAGGTTATTTAAAGCTGTACTGGATATATCTACAAATTTATTTTCTTTATGTTCTGGTAATTTAAATGCTATAAAATGTCAACTGCTTCCATCATGGTCGACATTTATGGACAAATAAATTTTTAAGAAAATTATTTTCATGCTGGGAGAGATAATTAATAACAAACGAACATCTTATTGATGCCCAAGAAATTAATATAAAAAAATTGAACTTTTTGTTAATATTTTTTGATGTCTATATCTTGAGTCATTGTAGAATTGATATAAGAATAACATAATGCAACTCCTTTGGTGATAGTATATGGATGAGCCTAGCTTTAAAAGTTCGTAGCAGAGCAATTACAGCCATCTTATGATTATATTCTATTATCTTCTAAAAAAAATACTGTTGCTCTAAAAAATAGAAATATATTTAAAATAGAATATAAAAACCTTGCAAAAATAAGGTTACAGCCATTTAAAAAATAAAAAAAAAGATTTATGGAAAGATGTGAAATGGGGGTGAAATGACTATTAGAAAATATTTATATTATACGTAGGATTAGACTCCAAAAATACATGTTAGCATTTTCAGGCAAAAACAAGGATTCTGCAGCAACGGGCAATGGTCACAGTTTCATCATTTTTATTAGACAAATTCAACTTTTCTGCAAACATCAATTGAATCCAAAGATTTAAACAGAAATATAAAATCAAGTAAAGAAAAATTATAAAATACGTGAGCAACGAAGAATACATATCCTCTGAATAAAATTTTTGAAGCAACTGAGAAAGGTTTAGAATACCGAAGCGATTATTTTCGATTTTGATTTGGAAATTTCGTCATCAATACAAATTAAACTAGTTGTTAATATCAAATATTGTATAATAAATTACTTACAGTACAAGGCTCAAAAATCATTCTTGCTAAAGAGAAAACTTTATATGTATAACAAATTCATATATAACATAATATATATTAATTATTGTACAACCCATATCGGATAAAATACCACTCTTCGTTTCTTTGTGTATGTAGAAATCGACAAGGAAATTTGGTTTTTTTATTGTTAAGGCTCTGCTATCTTGCCACAGAAAGTCTGAATTGATGATGGCGCCTAGCAGCGTCGAGAACACGAAATAACCATGTCAGCGTAGCTGATTGGCTGATACTAGGCCAGGCTCACGCTAGGCCTCGTTTGACACCTCGAAAAGTTAATGACGTTTTATCGCATTATTTTTCAGTTTCTCCGTGAAGTGGGTATATTATCGTGATCCTCACAGCTGTAAAATGTGCAGCAAACTCTGTGATACTGGTGATACATTATGAAAATCGAGAAATTAAATGTGTTCATGCTGATCTCAGCTCTTACAAACCACCGCGATAGCCAAAAAATGTAGCATTATTTCAGAAATTATTTTACGATGCTACGTAATATATCAGTTAGATATCTGAGTTTGCTGCACTTTTTATAAGTTTCAGGATTAGGAAAATATTTGGTTCTTCAGGGAAAAGTAAAAAATAAAGCAATAAAACGCAAGGAATTTTCGATATGTCATTTCTCGCTTCTGAAGTCATCAATATGGCCGTCCGAGAAATAGCAGAGCCTTCAGAATTGTTAAAAAAAGATCAATTCATATACAGATATAAAAATATTTTCGTAACTTATATATACGGAGTTTCTAAAAAATCCGTTAAAATTTTAGAAAGAAAGAGGATCTTACACCATTAAAGTGATTCAATTGAAATTCAGCTCTTTTTTTTGCTACCTTTGCAAAATATATATTTTTATCGTCAGATTAAAAATTTTATTAAACGACTACAAAATTTTTACACTTTATTGAAGGAACAACGAGAAACCGAGAGATGTACGAGAGAACGCAATAAAAATATGTTCTTTAATATTATACTAATCGAGCATTTCTATTTTTAATCTATGATTTTATATGCGTGCGAATAAAAAAATATCGACAGATCTATATTTTTTAACGCTAACAACATACGTTTCTTTTTTATTATAATATTAAGGAGATACTGAAGTTGAAATTTTTGCTGACAGTATATTGACTTTTTTCTGGAAAATTTAAGTTGTACTGGCTACATAAAATTACAAATGCTCTTACACAATAAAAATATATAGGAATAAATTATAGCATTGCTTAATATATGACAAAAAACGACAATATGACGAATATGACAAAATTTCAAAATTGACATTTTGAGTGTAAATTAGCTTATTAGACGTTGCCAGTTAAAGTAAATATTCATCTAATACAAAAAATTTGTAGTTTGTATATATTGAATACGCAAGTTTGCTCTGCGATTTTGCGGAAAAATTTCTGTATGTATATATGTGGTTAAGTTTACCGCTCTAAATATGGTAAAACAAAATAACATACATTTATGTAAAATCTATTTGTACAAAAAATACGAAAAAGAAAAGCGTGATCATACTAGTGACGATCATTTTTACCTTTGTATCTTAGTATCTTATATCTTAAGTAACGCAGTTTACGCAATTAAATTTGAATATTTCTTAAGATATTCTGTTCGATATTTATATAATTGCAAGTGTGATACATTTTAATAGAAAAAAATTATCTTTGGTCTATTTTCTATTAAAATCATGTCCAGGTCATTTTTAATTTTTTAAATAGAATAATATAGTTTCCTAAACATAAATTGATTACTCTGCATATAAAAATATTTAAATAAGATCAGCGAAAAATTAGTATTTTCTAAAATATTTTACATTTTATACTGATATATTTCTCAGCATAATATATGAAATATCTCGTACTGCAGCAGACACATTAATGCATTTTCAAAACACAATTAAATTTATTTCATATACATTATTTTATGTATATATTTAGCAATCAATTCGACTTATTATACAGGGTGTCTCACACTCTCCTCCGGGCATTTTGTGGGAACGTAGAACAGGTTGCGGTGAACATAAAAGTCCTATTCCGTTTTGCGATATTCGCAATAATTATCGAGATATTAATTGTAGGAAATTTGTGAATGATCATGCAGGAAATGGTAAATGAGTTATATAATAGCGACAACTGCCGTCGTATACTTTTATACTTTAGGTCAAATTGAACAAAAAAGTTCTCTACCATTCTGCAAATAATCACATAGATTTTTAATTATTAATTAAAGAAGATGAGTGCATTATCACGCAAAATTATGCAATAATCTTTTTTAATTAATAATTAAAAATCTATGTGATTATTTGGAA